TAAATAAATAAATATCCCTGGGTTGTGCGCCAGCCTGGAAAATAAATAAATAAAAAGACACCATGCCTTGGAAAGAAAATGGCAAATAAATTCTGTACTTTTGCAAAGAAAAATACATGTACTTGTCTATGAAGTTACCAGGAATTGAACTCATTTGAATGAGACTTTATCAAGCAAATGAACTGCCATGACCATATTTGGGCACATCTTAGCAGGGCAGAAATGAGAGAAACAGCATCTGTTTGATCCATGATTCCTCCCTTGCTATTTTTAAAAACTGGTTTCCTTGTGCATGTCTGCTTCAGCATGACTGAGGGCTTATTTGTATCAGGCAATTGCCCAGTCACTAGAATGGACAGGCAACCACTTTTGGAGGATGTAAATGGATGATGTTGCTCTCTATTAACACACCACCACCCTTACTGTCAAAGTAATCTCAAACCATGATTTTCTGCCGCATCTCTAATGTACACTTTTCATCATGCTATATCATTTTGATACTCCTATCTATTTGCAATAATAAAGTCCAGCAGTTTTTTAGTTACTTTGCACAGGAAGAAATGCTTCTTCAACTGAATCAATAGTTACTATGTGGTGTTATAGCTTCTATACTTCCCTTTACAGCAATGCTGAAATAGCACAGTAACTATGATCCTTATCTAAAATATAGAAGGTTACTAGTTAGAAACCAACACCTCCCCTTTTTAATTACTTTTCTTTTCTCTTTTTGAGCTAGGTAGTTTTCCCCCTAGGTTTGTTTTTGTTTTGTTTTATTTTTAAGTCTGGGTGTACACCATTTTATCAATACCCTGAGGCAGAAGGGCTTTACCCTTAGCTCCCAATAGCCCATAGGTTTTGAACTGGCAACCTCCTGTAGGCTAAACAAATATCATAACCATTGTGCTATTTCAGCATTGCTACAGGGAGATATAGAACATGGAATGGAACTGGGTGGAACAAAGGAACATTTTTTTTAAAGGTACATATTGTGCCAGCATATACGTGCACTTTGATATTTTTATCCTGTATATGTAAATTTAACTTTGTGAATGTATGTTTCTGTATATATTTCCACAATAGGGAAAGCAATTGGGAGGGGACAGGAATTGTCCAATAGAAAGATGTGACTGGCAAAATATCTCAGGTCAGATGGGATTTTCTTAAGTCATCTTAAAGTCAAGCCAACATGACACAGGACAGGACAAGCTTAAATGGTAAGTTTGGATATGCCCTGAAGTGGCAGGAGGGGAACTGAGGCACTCTTTGTATTTCAGAAGACACTGAGTACTTTTTGTAGTTAGACCTTTATCAGCTTTTTCATGTATGCAAGTATTTAATGCCTTTGACTATGTAATGCAGGTAGTCCTCATTAACCAACCACTCGTTCAGCAACCATTTGAAGTTGTAACAGTGCTGAATGAGTGGTACTTATGACCTATCCTCAAAGTTCCAGCCATCACAGTGCAATTTGGGTGCTTGGCAACCAGCTCACACTTGCGATGGTTGCAGCATCCCACAGTCACATAATTGCCATTTACAACCTTCCCTGTTGGCATCCCACAAGCAAAGTCAATGGGGAAGCCAGTAGGGAAGGTCGCAAATTGGTCTGGTACGTCTCCCCAGCCTTCCTGTGCTCATGCCATGCCCTCCATCCACTGGCCTTCCTGCACTTGTGGTGCACCGTGTACCACCCAGCCTTCCTGCACTCACACCATACTGTCCATCCTCTGGGCTTTCTGTCAGCCTTGTGGGGCAAACCAGATTGGAAATGACCAGATGAGCTAATTCTACTTTATTGTAAAGCTAAGTTGGCATTATCTTGCAAGTCTGAAAGTATATTTCTCCCTGTCTCCTTTACAGCTCAAGAAACTAGGGAAGGTCTCTTCTGAGCCTCTTGCCCCACCCACTATCCAGCTGCAGGCTATGCTATCTCTTATCTGATTGTTTCCTTGGCAGCATCTCTTTGCCAAGTCTCCCAAGGTCATTCCCATATACCATTACACTTCCTGTACTCACATGCGGCCTGCACTAGACCTCTCTTGATGGATATTATTTCCAGGCCTTCTGCCTGATACAGGATTGAAGAAATGCATAAGGATGTTGCTGAACAATTACTCAGTAAATCCAGCCAGCATGGCTGATGGTGAAAGATGTTTTCTAGTTCAGTAACATAGTTCCCCATTTCTGGCCTAAATATACAATTTTCTGTCATAATCCCCCATGAATTGTGCCCAATTAAGCCTCCTCCATTCTAGTGTCCACCAATAATTCTAGAACTACAATTAGAAGAATTCTCAGCCAGCCCGGCTGGTGGTAATTTGGAAAAATTTAAGAGGTGTCCATTGGAAATGTGTGCCATAATATAGTATGTTGTTTTTTTTAAAAAAAAAAAAAGCAGTATCTTTGCTCAAATGCTGAAGTGGACACACTTTGAAAAACTATAAACAAAAAACTCAGGCCTTGCTGAGTGTTTCTGCTCCAGTATCTGGCATTTGTCTTCTAAAGTACTTTTTGCAATAACCTACAGACAGGCCGCTTTGATTTAAGAGATCTAGAGCTTTCTTTAGGGCAGTGTTTCTCAACCTTGTCAACTTTAAGATGTGTGGACTTCAACTCCCAGCATGCTGGCTGGGGAATTCTGGGAGTTGGAGTCCACAAAGTGGCTACGGTTGAGAAACACTGCTGTAGGGACATCAGGTTTTTCCCATGAACAGTTGGAAAGTCTTCATCAATCATCAGATATGACCACAGAAAACAGGGAAGGAATCAAAAGAATCCTTACTGAGGTCTTAATCCCAACTGAGTTCTCCTTCTGCCATATATATTCTGGAGTTCTCCTCCCAGGCATATATACAAGTAGGAGACTCTCTTTGTCTCTTCTCCTGGTAAGCTCCAGCTATGTAGGTGCTTTGCCCATGCTTATAATGTACTGTATTTCCCATAATAAATATTCTTTCTGTTGTAATCATAAACCCTACTTCACTAATCATTGCTCAGGTTAGATTCCCATTCCCAGGAATGTCCCACATGCACATACAGAAGGCCTCCCATGCAGAGGCAATTTCTGGGATGGTTTTGAAGAATCCCAGGATTTCAATATCTCTATCAAAATGCAGCTGTTCATTTGAAGGACTTCATGGCCACCATTGGCTGTCTCAGAGTGTTACAGGCCCAATGCATATTGCAGAGCATAATCTGGCTGGGGTTGGGATAGGATGTCTTTCCTTAATTTCCTTCATTGCCAGCTAAAATTTCTGGTTGCTCTACTCTGAAGGAAGCTGTTCTACCACCTCCCCAATCATTATATTCCTTGCTTATTTTTTAGCATCAGCTATAACATGGGCATTAGGACACTACTTATGGATATAAATTTGACAATAGTTAAATAGAATTAGTAATTAAACCACATGCATCTGTTTATACATGTGCCTATTTGCTTTCAAGTCTGATGAATAGATTCAGGAGCCAGTAACAGCAGTATGCTTTTAAGCAGGTAATATACCCCAAACATTATTAACAAGATGTCACTATTCAGCTTCTAACATACTGTTTGTTGCTGAGCCTTGCTTGTGCTCAGAAGCTACACAAGGTCACCCCTGATTAGTACTTAGATAAAAGACCTCCAAGGAATTTGAGGGCTTTAGGCTAGACTATGAAGGAGAAAAGTATCTCATATGATGACAGTGGTAAACCACTTCATTACTAGTGCCAAGAAAATTATATGGGTGTATCCATGAAGTCATCAGGAGTTGAGCTCAACTCATAGGGGGCCTTAATTTTTACCAACTAGTCAGTACTCCCCAAATGTGGACTTCGAGACCAGGGACAAACAACTTGCTATCCTACAGATTTCTTGAACAACTCTAATCAGCTGAAGTTTCATGGTGAATGGCAAGGATTCTACAAGTTATAGTAAAAAAAATAGGCTATCTGGTTGCCTATTCCTATTCTAGTCTCAGTACTATTTGAACTGGAATACAGTTACTCTTTGGAATTCAGACTTATTTGAAAATTGCAACATGGTTTCCTTCATGCATTTCCAATCCTGTCTGATTCTCAGAAACTGCCTGGACAAGTCCCTGCAGTTTTCTTGGCAAGGTTTTTCAGAAATGGTTTGACTCCTAGGGCTGCGAGAAAGTGACTGGCCCAAGATCACCCAGCAGGCTCTGTAAACACCAGTAACTGCTACTCACTAGAATTTTAGCTTTATGCAAGGCTGCAAGCATGAACAGGGTGATCATGAATCCAGGACTCCCATGCACATGCTTCTGTCCTAGTGATAAAATCCAGGAAGGAATATTATCCTGAAATGTTTGAGATTGGGTGCATCAGGGCCAGGCAGAACATTCGGAGTCCAGGAACAAAAAGCAGGGGCTGCTTCTCTGGGATAGTCTCTAGAAAAGAGCATCACTCCTGCTGCACTTTGAGTAGCGGATGGAGGGAACGCATGTGGCCAGCAAGAACTTAAATGGAGGTGCGGCTGTCTGTGAGGCAGCAGAAGGCGTTATCTGGGCATTGAGGTGAACTGTTCTTAGTAATTTGTTAAGCAGACAGAAGAGAAAGAGAGAGATCATTTAAACACTTGTTCAAGAGATAGGGGCTTTTGATTCCATACACAGGAAACACTAGTTGAGTGGTAGTAACTTGTGATTTCATACCTCAAACACTGGTTTAGGTGGCAGAATTTTTGATTTTGAAACCTCACATAAAGTTAGGTCTGATGGGGCAACTAAAGGAATCAGAACTGATTTAATGAACTGTTTACCATTTACTGTAGTCGAGGATCTTCAATAAAGAAATAACTTTTGTATGTTGTCTATGCAGTGTGCAAAAGAACCTCTTCTATATCTCCTTTTTTGAAAATTGTAATAAGGTAAACTTAAACCTAAACAGTCTACTGAATTCTCACAGCCCCTCGCTTGCCAGTGTATTAAAAGATGATCCTTATTTTTTTTTAAAAAAAAATCTTTAATTTGAAAATATACTGTACAGAATATGTTTTCACTCAGTAACTGTAATATATTCAATACTTTTCATATCATGGGTCTGGACAATACATATTGTTGATAGGGTCTAATATTTTCCAAATATTTTAAAGAATTTATTAACAGTGCAATTCACCACCTTGTATTGTGTCCAATGGGCCTTATCCTCAGGTAATATGCCAGTAATATTTGTTAATTTAATTCTTTGTTGTCTATGAGAGATTGTGAGTCATTATGAAGGATAACCACATTGTCACTATACAAAGAATTGTCAAATCCAGCAGAGACTTGTTGTGGTCTGTTTCTTCTTCTATAGAAAGTATAGGCTGCGATTCCTCCAATGAGTATGAAGATAACTGGGATAAGTACCATCACAACTGTGCCATGCACTGATACAGGTGCCTTTTTTTTCTGTTCTAAAATATCAGAGGGAAGAAAAAGCACTGAGTGCATGTATATTATAACAAAACTCTGACTTAATGTTCTTTAAGTAAGAAAGAAGCCAAGAGAGATTGCATCCCCATCTAGAAGTCTAATAAAGGCAGCACTAACTAGAGTCAACCACCAACCGCAAAAGTTTGTGAATGGTAACTCAGTATAAGCAAGTGACTGTAATCCCCTGCTCCATTAATGTCCCAGATTCCAGAGAAAACTGATGTGTGTCGCCTATTGAAGATAAGAACTGAATTCACAGTCTTTCGATATGAAGCTTGATGTTAGAAATATGAGTTCTTCTACAGCAAATACAATTATAAATTGCTATCACTATCACTTATGATAATTATTTATTTGGGAACAGAAAATCATAATTATTTAATAACATCCACTGAAGAAGGGGGATTTTCCAGACTTGGCTTCATAACATGTAAATATAATGAGATCATCCACGTGATCTCATCTATGGCAGGGTGGTTAGGAATACCATTTTAGACTTCGACAGTGCGGGGAACAAAATTTCTCAAGAGATTCAGTGAGATTTTATACACCTTTGGCAGGCTTATTTTTTAATTTTTTTTCCTTTTTTTAGATTTTTAGATTTTTAAAAGATTTTTTTAAATCCCATCTTTATTATTTTTATAAATAACTCTTCTCTCTCTCTTTCTACACTGCAACAGAGTATGTTAGACATGCTGCCATTTTATTTTTTCCCAAATGTATAAAGGTAAGGTGATTTGAGGACGAGTCTTTAAAAATATGACTGTTTTATTTGGGTTGCCGCTGCCAAATTCCTCTCAAGGATCTCTAGAATAATATTATTTTGGGTCCATTCTGAGAAAAAAAGGAAAAAGGCAACTGGCAGCCACCTCAAGGATCTACATGGTTTCCATCCCATTAATAAAGGAAAAATTATATAAAACAAAACTTAGCTATTGTAACGTAACAACTTATTGTAGCCAAAGTAAGTCTTCACAACATCTCTTAAGAAATTCTGCTGTCATCCAAATTCTTTTAATCTACAAAAATGTGTTCCTCTACATTTGAGCTATATATTAGAATTTTCAGCTCAGAGCTATGGAAAATTTATTATTGAACTTTTAAAATAACATTCTTACCTGATTTTTCTGTAGGCTTTATAATTGGTTCTTCAATAACTAGAAAATTGACAAAAATATTTTCAGTATGTAATTACTGTATATGCATTACTGCACACCACTAAGGTAACAATGAAGGTAACAAACACTAAGGTAACAAATATGCATGGCAATTTAAAAAAACGAATTCTCTGATTCACAGTGTATTTTTACAGTGAACCTTTACAAGTTCAGAAGAAAGAATTATACACCTTAGGACAATGACTGAAAAGATTTTTCTCAGTTTCCATTAAAAGGTGATATTGTTTGGTTATCCATCTGAGTTCATCAGGGTATTCATTAGCTTAATGAGATTTTCTTGACTGTGTTTAAAGTATCTATTGGGAATGGTTTAAGATACAAAAAGTGAAAGTAATATTTTAGCCAACTAGAGTAAATACAAAATTTATATCTAGAGTAGCCAATTAGAAATACAAAATTTCAGAAGTAATAATAGATACAAAGGAATTCAACGTTTCCTACTTCAGATATTTGTCTAAAATGTTATGAAATAAACTTTAGGTAGCATCATCCTTGGCTGTTGATATTCAGTTTATTGAATTCTGTGTCCTGTGACATAAAAAATCAATTCATTCATACCATAAAACAGTTGACATAATAATTAGGGGGCAGCAAATGAGGGAAGCTTTGCTTATTAAACCTTTATCAATTGCTAATAATATAATTAATTATTTATATTAAAATATGTCATTCAATCAATGATAGCAAAAATCAATATACTTTGCTATTGATTCTATTTTTACTCCTATTATTTCAGATAATGCTTTATTTGAAACAGAAACTGAGGAGAAAAATAAGATAAGATAAGATAAGATAAGATAAGATAAGAGGATA